AACGTGTACTTCTGTTGTTTTAGTAAGCTGCACTATTTGTTAAACTAGCCATAAAAGTTTCTCATTGGGCACCACCAAATCCTGTTAAGTCTGGCCATGTGAGTCCATGGAGCGCGACTAAGCTGAAAGGGCAGTGTGCTGTTAGTGCATCTATAATCGTGATAATTCAGTAAGTTGAATGTGACTGGACTAATACTGACAAACTGGATATCACTCAGAATTTAAGCCTAGCTGCCCCCAGCCATTCTGACATCTGAGGATAAGCTGGAACGCAAGAGGGTTTGTTTTCTGCCAGACTACTTTACCTTTTAATGTGACAACTGTTCCCTATAACCTGCTGATCCCCATGCTGATGAGAAGGCATCCCATGAGTTTGCACGCACACAGCTGAGGGGTGGGTCCCTACTTGTTGCACCCTGCTCTGTCAGTCCCTATCTGCATACAGGCTGGGCTTCTTACAGCATCTGATAGAGAAGATGCTCTGTTTGGCACAGGTAGAGGTTGTGATGTTGGCAGGATGACTTTGGGCAGTGTCACACAGGTCTTGACTACTGCTGTTAACACTCCAAAGTGTTTTTCTCGTTAAAAAATTCATGCTGCTTTTGTACTTCTATCAATCCTTTTTTGTTTTAAAAGTGTCTTTGAACTGCTCTGTTTATTGTTTAATTCAGGTGATGACTGTACTGCTCTTCAACACCATCAGCTGGTGGTTGATGACCATCTTACCTTTTGACTTGATCAGTTTTGGACAGACGCCATCCAGATAAACTAGTCTTCAGCACACACAACAGAATGCACACTTTATAATTTTACAATAGCTTTGTACTATTAACAAGTTGAGAACTATCATCTATATTAAGCTATACCATAACTACTTGTGGCCAAAAGCTAGACTTGATAGGTCCCTAAAAATTACAGTACTAAAAGTGTTTGTTGAACCACTGGAGTTTCCTTTCCCCTGTCATTGTGCTATATTATGTCAGCCAGCCCTCCCTTATCTATAATTTACGTGTATTATGATAATGCAAGTAGGCAAACTAAAGAAACTTGTCATAAGGCTACACGTGCTGTGACTATGTAGTAATGTAGGATATAAGGCAGGGACAGAAGTCATTCTTTGGAATTCCCTTCAGCTGGCTTGAGACCCCCTGCTGTTTACTGCCCTGATCATTGGACAGGTCACATTATCTTTCTTTAACCTGTGCTCCCTCCCTCCCTATCTCTCCCCCTCTCTCTCTCTCTCTCTCTCTCTCTCTCTCCCACCCTCTTCTTTGCCTTGTTAATTTCTATATCATTATGTATGTTTGATATGTATTGATTGCAATTGTTAAAGGACACTGGATAAAGAAAGAGACTATTAAAAATTTGGTTTTGATTTCCTCTGTATGACTAGCCTGACTATTGGTGGTTAGTGAACCGTGCTGCTCTGAGGAAGGAGAGAATTATTGTCTCCCTGCTTGCATTTTCTTGGGAACGGGGTATGATGGGAGAAACCCCAGAATAAGTTCTCCAAGCCTGTAATGGTCCACAAGATCCTTGTATGGGCCTTTAAAAGACTTAAGTGACAGCTATCCTTGTGCGTTGACATGTTCTGGAGAAGGATGTTTGCTTCTGTAAATGTTGATTTTTTCAGGTGGTGGGGATCTTCAATGTTGAGATCCTCTGCTGTTGGTCTTAGCCCACGGCTGGTGAGCTGTCTTTTTATACCCATCAATTTTAGCAACTTGTTGCCTTCTGCATTTGCTTACTACATTTGAATTGGTTGTCTGTGTTCCCTGGTGAATCATAGAAACTGACTGGCTAGTCTTCAAATAGATGGCCCAAATTCTCCTCAGGTGTCTCTGTGAAGTGAATGTGAGGTGTTTCCACAGAGCAGTTCAGGGACGTTATATAAGACAGAGACCAGAGACATGTCTAAAATTATCTGATAGAGAAGTCTAGGTGTAGGCATTTTAGTTGCATGATAGATTTGTTGAAGAGCTGTGCTGTTACTTCTGCATTCAGTGGGGATGTATCTCCATTCCCTTTCTATGCACTGTCAATGAAGAACTGGCAGTTGCCTATGTAGTTAGTGATGATTTCTGAGGCTTGCAGTCAAGGTGAGAAAGTAGTATTTGAATTGAAGCAGTTATGTATGAGAAATAGTCTTCTCTGTCTTTCGAAGTCTTGTACTGACACTGAACTTCTCAGTACTGATCCTGAACTGTTCTTCCTAAGACAAGTGCTTTCTGTCAAATACCACTTTCTAATGTGGTATTTCTTGTATTAAAGTTATAAAAAATTTTAAGGTTGTGATTGTGTTGGGCTTGTGTGTGTGGTGGGGGGTTTTGGTAACGGGGGAGGGGGCTATAGTGGTGGCCCCCTGTGAGAAGCTTCTTGAAGTTCCCCTGGCTCCAAGTCAGACCTGCCTCTGGCCAATGCCAAGCCAATTAGTGATGGTGGCTGCACCTCTTCAGTAACATATGTAAGGGGAATCTGGGAGGAGGAGTTGGAGTAGGGAGGAGAGACTGTGAGGAAGACACCTCTACAAATACTGTCAGTGGAAGAAAGGAGAAGGGGGGGTGGTGCACTGGAGAAGAGATTCCCTTGCATACTGTGGTGAGAGGGCAGGGTGTGCCCCGTCACCCATGGAGGTCCACGGTGGAGCAGATGCCCACATGCCAATGGATGACCCCAGGCTGGAGCAGGTGGCTGCACCTGAAGAAGGCTGGGACTCTGTGATAAGCCCTCACTGGTGTAGTTTGGGAGGATTGCAGTGTGTGGGAGGGAACCAAACTGGTGCGGTTCAGGAGGAGCTGCTTGCCCATGGGAAGGATTCATGTCAGAGAAAGTTCATGGAGGACTGTCTACTGTGAGAGGGACCCTGTGCTGGAGCAGGGGAACAGGGCATGGAGTCCTCCCCCTGAGGCAGAAGGAACAACAGAGACAATGGGTGATGAGCTGACTGCAACCCCCATTCCCTGTCCCCCTGTGCTGGTGGAGGAGAGGAGGTAGAGAAATTGGGAGCAAAGCTGAGCCCTGGAAGAAGGGAGGGGTGGGGGAAGGTGTTTTTAAAATGCAGTTGTACTTCTTACTGTCCTACTCTGTTCACTGTCATTGGTGGTGGCATTTGAATTAAATTGGCGTTCTTTTTTTTTTTTTTCCCTACTGAGTCTGTCTTTTGCCCATGACCATAATGGGTGAGTCATCCCTTCCTGTCCTTACCCTGATTCCTGAGGCTTTTATTGTATTTTCGCCTTCCCATTCCTGAGGGGGAAGGAGTGAGCAAGCAGCTGCATGGTGCTCAGTTACCCTCTGAGCTCAAACCACAAGTGATCACAGTTGCAAACTTAGTTTTCTTAATCCAGCTAATAATAATGGTAAACTAAGATTGTACTCATTTTTATGGTTTTGACAGTGACAAGAATTGGATTTTACTCTTGGCTTAGTTGTGTGTTGCATGTAGTCAAAGTTTTTCCACTGTTTAGCAAAGATTTTACAATTACTGCTAGTTGGCATCTTAGTCTTGTTTACATATCTCAATCATGTTTCTGAAACATATAAATGTCTTAAATTTCTTCAGCAGTTATCGAATTCATAGACATGATTATTTTATCCCCTATTATTTTTCAGGAAATACCCAGCGTAACATAAGCAGTCTGAAATCTGTAGCTTGGATGCAAAAGCCTGTTTTCTCATCTAAGATTCCTGCATCACTGTAAGTATTGCCTTAATACTGTCGATGTTTTTTACAAATTTCATGTGTGACTTTGTTTTCCTATTTTCTTATTTTTGTCCTTTGAGAGCAGAGAAAGTAAAAGAGAGAGGGAAGGAAGAGAGAGCTATCTTTGAATCTTGATAATAACACCTGGAAAATTATAACTTTGTGGCTCTTACAGGCTAGATCTGAGTGATGCTTCTAATTCCTAAGTTTGAAATCAAGAGAATCTTCAAAATCTAGAAGAGCCCATGAAAGAAAGTAATCTTGGGAGAAATGACCTGAAATATTTACTTGATAAACTGTCGAGGTGTTTGTTCTGACCTGGGTGGTCTTGCTGAGAGGAACTTACCAAGATGCAAACAGCATTCATGCTTGTAGGTTGTCATGAGTTTTTTGTTCTTTTTTCATTTTTGAAGACTGAAATAGTGTGTGGCTTTGAAGATGTTGTCTCTAACTTTCAGAAGTAACATGCTCACCGAGTTGGCCTTGATGGTAATCAGTGTAAATTGTGGAATATAACTCAGAGTTAGAGATTTGTGACTGTCACCTCCTGGAGGTATACTTACTGTAGTAGCAGAGGTCATCTCCATGCTTCATGCCATCAGCCAGCTGAGTTAACACTACCAAAAAGAATTAGGAGTGGTTTGCTTGTAGCTACATATGCTGTTAACTAGTGTCACAGATTTGTGTTTCTCAAAAGTTATTAACTGCCCACAGTATCAGGGAAGAGCAAATGATATGTGAAATAAAAACAAGTGGTCCACATTATTATGAGAGATTTTTACTGAACCCAAATGCATTTTCTCCTTTCTTCTGTTGTATTTGAAGGTATCATTGAAGTTGAGTCTTCTTGTCTGAAAGCTCTGACCTGTATTATATTCTGTAGGTGCTTCTCATGCTCAGCTCTTAAGCATTGCTTATTGTATCATGTTATAAAAATGCACTGGATTTTTTCCATTGTTTTGGGATGAGGAGGTACATATAGCAACCTATTGTTAAATTAAAAAAACAAACAATAATAGAATTAGAAGAATAATGTGAGAGTGTTGTTATTCATTAGACAGTCAATAGAATTGTTAGTTGCTGCTATTTTTGTACCTTAGTAGTTTATGAAACTTAACATTGAAAACATTGATGTCCATGGGATGTACCAATGGAGTTGCTCTTCTACCCAGCAATTTATGTTCAGTGGTTCTGTTTATAATGCCTTCTAAATCCCTTATTGGAAATTGAAAAACATTTTGATCAAAAAATTAAGGTTTGGGTTTTGGTTTGTTTCTTTTTTTTTTTTTTTTTTTTTTCATCTGATCCAAAAAATGCTTCTGGTTTTAACAGTGTTCAGCAACACCATCAGAAATGGCAATCTGGAGAAGTCAGTCAATCAGTTCGGAATGTCTGTAATTCAAGTGGAAATGTGACAGCAAATCAGCCTTTTAATCAAATGTCTGTGCCATCCCCTGACATTTCCAAGCAGCTATATGATGTTGTGCAAGAAAGGGAAACTGTTTCTTCGGTGGCTGCTTCAAAGCCACTGAATGATCCTGCTTCAGTTCAAGAAAGCCAGACTAATAGTTTGATGAATAGGCCTGTTAATTCTCAAATTCCTACAGCAGCAGCAGGTGGACAATCACTTACAAAGGACAGATTAGCTTGGGAAGCTCAAAAGCTGCTCGCTATTAAAAAAAAATGTGTCCTGCTTGAAAGGTTGCATCATTATAGAAGAAAACTCTTAGCAGCTTCAGAACATGACAAAAGTACTCCCCCACTTCCTCCAAATTGTCAAGCTACTCTTGCTAATTGTCTTCCAGGGGTGCCCAACCAAAATGTACCACCTTCCCCATCTGAAACAACAAGGACAGAGCATCCAATACTTAACTCTTCACCTGAAGAAAGAAATGACAAAAACGTAGCCAGTGCTGATAACAGAGGAGTAGAGGTGACTCAAAGCAACCCTCAGGTGGAGCAGGGAAGCCTTTCATCAAGCTCTGCTCCTGTTGCCTCTCAGAGCAACCTCCCAGCTCAATTAAATAATCCCAAGATCGCTCCTGTCCTGGAACAAAGGGATGCACATGCTGTGGACTCTTCTCAAACAACTGCAACATCCTTGAACAATGCTTCGTGTTTGAGTCAAGTGGATAGCTCTACCAGAATTGTATCAAAAAATATGCCGACTTACCCTGAGAACTCATCATTTTTACGGTTTGTATTGAGCAGCACCAATATATTGAAAGAGAAGACTGCTGGTGCTACTGCTGATAAAATACTGACTAGTCTCTTATGTAGTGAAAAAACACTGATGGATACATCTGTCTCAGGTGAAAGCTTACTAAAAGACACTAGTGAGAAGAAGATAGAAAATTTGAAAGGTGAGCAGGCATGTATGGTTTACAAAAACTCTCCCGTATCAGAAAAAAATGAATCTAGTGAAGCTAAATTGCAGAATGATGTACCTCAGAAAAAAATGTCATTTACTGAAAATACACCTTTTAAACAGAGCAATTGTAGTTATTCTGTGGAAGAGCTAACTGCATGCCTTGGCTTGTGGAGAAAGCATCCATCAGAATCTGTAAGTGTGCAAAATAGCCAGGCAAATGAAAGCCCCACAGCGAATCAGATTTCACCTTGCAGCCAAACCACAAAAAATAGAGAACAAAATAATGTTGCGGTTAGTACAGATGAAGCCGTTTTGCCTGTAACTGCTTCTGTAGCACAAACACTTGATACATTGGCTTGCAATTTGATAAAAAGTTTTGAACTCCAAGTTGCAGTTGTCTCTCCTTTAGTACTTTCTGAACAGAGAACACAGAGTGAGCTGGCAGACAAATGTCCAACATCTGTAGGTAAAAACTCTCCAGTGATTGACTCGGGAAGCACATGTAGCTTGCAAGAAGAGGGGAAAAATGGTTTAAGTGTGGTAAATAAAGGAACAATAGAAACTGTTCAGTTGTCACCCAGTGATTATGTTCTGGTACAAAAAGAGGACTCACATTTGCAACAGACCAGATCAGCTGATGGAAATGAAATAGTGAAAAACAATGTGAGTGCAAATGATTCATGTGACAAAAAACAAAGGAAAGTTAGTCAATCTGCACAAGGTACCAAAGAAAATCTGCAGTTTGGATTAGAAAACAAGCCTTCCGTTCCTGAATTGGGCCTAAATTCTTCTAGTCAAATCATTCAAGAAGGTATAAGAAACCATAAAGACAAGCAAGCTGTGTTAGAGACAGGAGATACATCCACAGCTGTGTTGGAAGAACAGATGTTTTGTATTTCTGCTGTATGTTCTCTTGTTGAAGGTGATACATCTTATAATCCACAAATAGCAAGTATCTTCAGGTCAGTCACTGAGACACATGCATTAAATGGTACCTCATCAGAAGGAAACGCATCTGACTCAAGGCAGAAGGAACAACATCTAGATTTGCATAATAATGAGCTGAGCAATAACACTCCCCGAAGAGAGAACCTGCTGCATAAAATCGAAGAATCATCAAGCTCCATGAGTAAAGCAGGTAAGATTTGGGATGGTGTCACAGCTAGTCATTTGGAGAAAGAAAGCAGTGGTAGTCCTGTTAAAACAATTTCTACCTCAGAACAAAAAATGTCATTCAGTGCATCTTTTGAGCAACTTGAAAATAACTTGGAAATTGTTGCTAGTATGAATGAGCAGTTGGCTCAAAATTCATTAGATTGCTCAATCAGTGTAACTGCTGAAACAAATGCATTCACTGTTCCAAGAGACAGCAGTAAACAAAACTTCATGTCCAGTAAAAATAGCCGAGAGAAAGAGATTAATCTTTTGGGATTGGAACCTATTAAATGTCTAAACAATCAGCTGTCTGAATTAGTGAAAGAGTTTCCGTATGGCATTGAAGGTGCTGATATGCTAACAAAAGAACCAGTACAAAACAATTCAGTGGCTGAGCAGAGGGAGAATCAACCTCAGAAAGAGACTCAAATTTGTGACAAGAATTCTCATTTGAAGGACCCAGTAGATCAGATGAAAATTGCAGTGTTAAGCTCTGATCAGATGCAAGAACTGTTTCCTGAACATAGCTGGTATTCGTCTAGTGACAGCAAGAGAGTTGTGGATCAAGAGCCAGGAAAGACTTCAAGTTCAGCTGAGGGGAACCTTGAAGGCAGTATTCAGCTCAGTCAGAGTCTATGTGAGAAGAAAACAACAACACAAAAAACCTCCAAGCCCAGAAAAAAAAAAATAAAAAATTGTCTGTCTCTAACACGCACGTCTGATTCAGAGAAAAATGATAATCAACTTGCAAAAAATGAGAATACTAGCTCTATAGAGAGACAAGAAAACAGCAGTAAATCTGATGCCGTAACAAAGAGCTGTGCAGTGGGAAACCTGCCAATTTCTGAAAAAATCCAAAACAGTGTTAGTAAAAATAAAGAAGATACTTGCACATACATGTCTGTAACAAACGAAAAAGCTAGGTTAAAGGTGAATAATGAATACAAAGTGCTTACAACACAACAGGAAAAAATGGGACCACTTAATTCCTCTGAAAACCAGGATATTGACAAATCTAAAAGGAACAGCCAGAAGGAAGAGCCGCAAATCGACAGAGGAACCCAGCTGTTAGGCAGAGAATTTCATTCTGCCAAAAAAGAACATCAGACCCACTCAGAAGAGTTTTCAGAGGAACCTGGTCATACAGGTGCAGACAACAAGACAAAGTCATCCAAAAAGAGAGTTTTCAAAGAGGGCCCCCTTTCAAAAGATAAAACCAAACTAGGTTTGGCCATGAAATCCAGAACAGATGTTCACAAATTTACCAAGTCAGGAACTGTTGAAATTAAGCATGCTGAAGTCAATCAAGGACAAAAAAATAAAACCTATGAAGAGAACTCAGCTGAAGAACAGGACTGGAGGAAACAAAAGGAGTTACTTGGGCAAGATGTAGGAATTAACATAAAAGAGAAAGCCCAATTATCAGTGGAAACAAAAGATAAAAAGCTGAAGAGTTACTGTGCTGATGCTGTAAAGTTCCCAAATTTTGGCACTGTAGACTTAAAGTCAAGAAACTCCAAATATTCTCAGCATAAATCTATGAAAGCTCATCCTTCACAGGAGCAGTCATACAAACGAAAGAGGAGGGAAAATATGATTGGGAAGAGAGATCTTAAGAAAAGAAAGGTGGAAGAGGAAAGATTGAAACAATCTGAAGAAAAGAATTCCAAGCAGCTTTCACATAATTGCATGATAAATACTGACAGAGGTAAAAAATTGCATGGAGAAAATAGCTGGAAACCGAAGAGTTCATTAGCAGATCACTCTGTGCTTAAACTACAGAGAAGAAGGGCTCGATCTTCTAACATCTCTAAAAACTACTTTTCCAACAAAGAGAGACGTCTTGATGGTCAACACAAAGACAAGTGCTCTGAAAAAAACCTGCTGTACTTAAATAGAAGAAATAACAGATTAAAATTGCATATTCAAAAGGAACCAAAAAAACACTACCTGAACAGAGTTGCATTTAAGCGTACAACACAGGAACGCATATATCTGACAAAATTAGAGACATCACCTGTCAGACCCATCTGGCATATGAAGTCCACAGCATCACAAAACAGCCCAGATGTGAAAAGAGATGCTCCTGTCTCAGAATCTGAGAAATCATGCAAACTGGAAGTACTTGAATTTAAGCTGTGTCCAGAGATACTGTTCAGAAATCCAGCCACTGATGAAGAAAGCTTAGGTGCAAAGAATTCCCTGGAAAGAGAGAAAGTCATTGTGGCAGGTATGATGCTATCTTGATTATTAGTTTGTAAGTAAATTAATTTGCAAGTAAAAAGTATGTACTTTTTAAATTCATGTTACACACAACTACTGACAGTGAAAAGATGGGACTCTAGAAGCTGAAGGCTGAACTAGTTTAGTTAGCTTTCTGACATATTGTAGCTGTGTGTTAAACTAAAAAAAGAACATGAGACTTAGCCTTCTATTTAATGTTTTATTCTTTTTCCTTAAGTTTTACAGAATAAAGTTAGAGTAGTTTAGAGTATGGCAGTTTCAAGTAACTTTGCAAGAAGTCTTTCTAACCTACCTGTAGAAGATAGCTTGGCTTGTTCATAGAGAGCAGATTCCCTTGATGTAGTTAGCAAAGGTGATCTGATTTGTATTCAGTGCTCACCTGGTGGTGTGTAAATCTGGCTGGGTAGACAGTGGAGGGAGAGATCTTCTGCAGCATTGAGGAAGAGAGAGGGCGTGGACCAGACATACGCTGCACGTGGTCTCCATAACCTTTGCCATCTTTGCTTTAAGCTGCCTTTTTCCTCTTCTTCCCTGTCCCCAGTCTTTTGACATTTTACATGGTGCTTTGTGAAGCATATTTGTGTCAAATGCTGTATTTGATTTTAAATAAAACCAGATCTTAAGTTGTACATACCAGCCCTTGCAGTCATTTTCACACCTAAAGGAAATTTCTTTTTGCATGTGCTAGTATATGTCTTAGGAAGCTCAAAACCATTTTTTTTTTTAAATTTTCTATTTAGGTGTCAAGAGTAAGAAAGAAGATTGGTTAAAATGTGATCCAGTGAAGCAAAAAAAGCTGGAAGAGATCTCTACAGGTGAAATGACTTCAGTAATATAAATTAAATATTCTTTGCTTGGTTTTAAGTGTTCCTTTACAGTAGCAAATCTTAATAAAGTATTCTAACTTATTCTTTACTAGCTCTGCTGCTGAAATGGATACTGTAGAGTAGACATACAAGCTTCAAAGATTTGTGGAGATTTTTATTGCCATAAAAATATGTTGTTGGAATTTGCCTGCATATGTGTGCGCAGTTGAATCAGGGGTAGCACTGGTGATGACATTCAAGTACAGATTTAAACTGTAGGTAAAGACCAAGCTAGCTCTTTCCCACTTCAAGGAAGCGATATGACAAAATCTAGTGTGAGACTATAAAACCAGGAATTGATGTTTTAAATTTATTTGGCTTTCGGAGTAAGTTGATGCTGTCTGCATGTAAACACATTCTCACAAATATCAGGACCTGTATGTCCCGGTAGTCTGGACAGGGTTACTTGTATGACACACAGAGGAAGAACAGTGCTACTACTACATCTTCCTTGTTTCTCTTGATTGGCAAATTACTTTTTGGATGGTCTTTTGTACCCTTTAGGAGTCAACAGTTAGAACAGTGGCATATTTCATCTCGGGATCTTGGTTGTTCCATCCTTTGTAAATATTAGATGAGGTTGCTCCTTGTTGTCTTTGTTTCTTTGCTTTAGGTATCTTTCTAGCTATAGTCTTGTTTTCCTACTTGTCAGGAAGAAAAATGGTGCATTCAACATACTGTAATCTTGTTGCCATCCTCTTCTTATCAGGGTGTAAGTCCTCTGCTGACAAGTTATTTGTGTTGAGGTCTTGATGCAAACAACACGTTTTGCGGTGTTTACGTCTTCTATTGTTATTGAATGTGTCCTTGGCTATTGGTATCTGACATTCTTTTAGCCCTTCCTCATGTTTCTTCTCTTTCACAAATGCACATTTTCATTCACACCTTTCTTAATATTCTTTAGAAATATCTCTTATGAAGACACCCAAATGACCATTTTGTGCTTAAAGATGCATTGGAGATTGATTTAAATCAGAAGTGCCTAGTGCTTTAGGAAGGAAGTTTGTGGCATCTTTTTTGACACTGGGTGACCTTAAGTACCACGTGCATAAGCAGAGTAATCTGAGGCTCTTAGACTTTTGCTTTAATGTGTTTCTCTGTCTGTCTTTCAGCTGAGGACAGTATTCCACTTGATACAGCTATACAGATCCTGGATGGAGATGGCAAGGCTCTTCACATTCCAAGCAAAGACTCAAAAGAGATATTTCAGACCTACAGAAAAATGTATCTGGAAAAAAAGGTGCAAAAGCCTTGATAGCACTCCTATATCATAGGTCTTATTTAATATCACTGGGAAAAAAATTTCCAACACTAGAATGATTTTTCCTGTTTATTTCATCTTTCTAAATAATGGTTTAAAAAAACATTTGAGTGTTGGCAATTTCCCCCCCTATTTCTCATATTTGTGAGTGATTGAGATCTTATTCTGTGTTTATTGCACAAATATGGTTTGGTGCAGAGAATGCCATTGTCAAATTTATTGTTTCATTTTGGCATATTTTAATCTTTTTTTTAACGATACAAGAGTTAGTTGAAACTTGACCAAAAAAACTCAAAACTCATTTAAATTGTCATAATCTGTTTTCTGATTCTGTAAAACTTCTACTTGTACTTTCCACTGCTGGCAGTGGAAAAATATTCTTACTGGAAAAAGATTGCAGTGGATTCCAAAGCATTACACCTTTATTTTCTACTTACACTAGTCTGATTTTTGTGCTTCTAACAAGGCTTTTTATTTTTGTAGAAACTTTTTTTTTTTAAAACTGGGAATACAAATATAAAATGTGCAAATTAAACATACAGTTCAGGGGATACCATTAAGTACGTATGCTGCTACCCAGTTTTCTTACACTTCTTTTTTGTGGAACTTGTGCAAATTGAACTCTTGAGTTAATCTGAACACAGGGCTGTAAGCTGATAGTTAACTGAAGACTTCTCTTGTTTTTCTCTCTCTCTCTGCTTTCTTTACACTTGAAAGAAAAGTGTGATTACTGAAGTGCAGGGAGTTTGAATTCACTCTTGTCTGGACTGTGTTACTTGCTTTAACCAGACTGTAATTAATTTCTTTGTTTATAAGGTGTTAGCTAATGTTTGACTACACATGCACTGTGACATAAGAGTTATAGTTTTTTGCTGGATATCCTGTTAATGCGCCTTTTCACTGTTAAGAATTTTGAATTTAATCGTATTTTTCAGAAATTTGGTACTTGATTCTTTCTACCTGTTTAAACCTTTGTACTGAAAGTAAAAACTCTGTAGATACTTCACTGAATGGTTTTTATACTTGAAATAAACTTTTAAAGGCTATGCCTTGACTTTTAGTTTAAAAGTATAAAGTTGTGTTTATTTCAGTTAGTTAAATAGTCATTGAAGATATTCCTGTAGATGAGAAGCAGCTTTAAAATAAGTGTCAGATCTCCCTTCATAAAAGGTTTCATAGCAGCAAGTGAGAAGTGGACTTGAGTCCAAGCTTTTTCTAATGAACTCTTAACAGCATGTACTTATACTTCAGAAAACTTATCAGGTATGTTTTTCTCCTTAGCATCTTTTTTTTTTCTTTGTTTTCCGTGCTCTGATGTGGAGTTGAGAATTGGTTGTCATGAGTACTTAAAAAGCCTTCAGTACTACTCCATTCCTGAAGGTATATGCTTGTAGGCGTCTTGGATATAGTTGCCCAGTGAAGCATAACATTATAATTTCCTAGCTCTATCTGTATGCTGAATTAAAAATTGGCTTTTCTGGGAGAAAGAAGTCCACCCCTTCCGTCATGTATATATTTCTTCTCTCAAACTAGGGAACTATTCAGGAGGTTTTTAACTCCCTTCCTGTCTGGCATAGCTATCCTACTAACTTAGATTTTTTTTTTTTTTTTTTTTCTGGCTGGATACCCAACTATTAGTCTGTGGGGAATGTTGCCACTGGAGCATTTTGTAATAATGTTGGCAACTGTGAGAAGGTTTTATTTTGCATTTTCTTGGGAGTTTAGCACCTGAATTTATACTGCCTGCATTAAGGAGGATTCATTGTAGCCTTAAGTGTACCCAGTACAAACAACACATAGTTCCTGTCAAGAATTTACTTTGGGTTTTGTTCTGCATAATGATACATGAAGCTGACTTAAATGCTTGAATGAATTATTTTATATGGGAAATTATTCAATCCATTCACCCATGACAATTATATTCTAAATAGTTGGAGAAGTTTACTCACTGACCCTGTGCACCCAATAAGTCAGACTGCCAATTTTGTGTCCCAATGGATACAGCTACATCTTCTTCCTCTCTTATACCAAGGAATGAATCTTGGCTCTGTGACCATGTTTACATGGTGACTTGTCCCTACACTGCTTTAGTATGGCTAGGATCTTTGGGATAGACTGGCCACATCCCTTCTACTTGGTTCACGTGTTGGCTCAATAACTATGAGGTAATCCTGTGCACTTAAGTACTTTGTGCTTGTTGCTGGCCTCTAGCCATTGCTATGCTTACTGCATAATTGCATACTAAGAGGACTGTGCCAGAGGCTCTTACTCAGTTGCCATTTCTCCTGCTGCTTATGGTGCTGACTGAAGCCATGATACTACGCACGCCCTTGGCCTTGGACAGGCAAGATGCTGACATCCACCTAGATGTGGCTACTGTGAAAAAACTAGTGCTGTGTGGCTTGAAGTGAATTCAAATATGTGGATGTGTGTTGCCTGAACTTGAAAGGACTTGTAATATGAATGTCACCAGTGGGGTTACTTTGTACAAACCAGAGATCTTGTCATGTCTCTGAGAGCACTAATAGGTCTTAATGGTCCTGATCATCTATATGTTGGACCTCCACCCACACCCCCTGCTCATGGACCCAGGAACTCGTATTTAAGATCCAGCCAGGGCTTCAGTCCCTGCCTGAAAGATGCTCAAGGTCTAATCATCTCTAGGTCCATTACAATCATGCTTATATGTGGATATGAAAATTGCTCATTGATCCAGACCCATGGATGGTCTTCCTACCTGGACTCAGATGTATGTCAGCTTACTATGAAGCTGCCTGTCAATCGTGATTGTGTCTGACCCTGGTTACTGTCACTGGATCTGATCCTGGCCTGTAGATTGACTTACTGGTTTCACATTGCCTCTTCTTCATCACTACAGGTTTGTCTGGTGATCTGAACTCTGGCTTGACCATGGTTACCATCCCCGTCCTGCTTGCCTTGCCACTTGGGTGCTGTGGGGATTGGGCCTTGGCTGGTGAGGCCCTTGCCTTGCCAGTCATGGTATCTCCCTTAGCTTCTGGTCTCTGGCCCTTAGGGAGTCACTGGTCCTTGCTGAGCCCTGACAAATACAGAACTGTAGGATGTGGGTGTGCAGCATCCTGTCCTGTTGGTGTCTGTCTTCTCTCTTCTTCCCATTTCTCTTCTAGGAAGCTTCCTGTATCAGTAGGAAGAGATGTTACTTCTATCATTCTCACTTTTTTGCCCCAAGAGAGTCAGGATGAGGTTCCTGGTAAGTGTAGAAAGGTAAATGTCATTTGCCACCCATTTTCAAAGACAAAAGGATGACCCACAGAACTACAGGAGACTGGTCAGCCAGCCTGACCCATTTCTTCAGGAAGATATAGAATAATTGTTCTTGAAGCCATCACTACCCAAATACGGTAAGGATAAGGTGATTTGGAACAGTCAGTGTAGATTTATAAAGGGTAAATCACACTTGACCAACCTGATGGCCTTTTATGATGCGGTGGCAGATTCTGTGGACAGTGAGACTGTAGAAAATGCTGTTTACCTTTAACAATGCTCTTGATATGGTTTCTCATAGTATTCTTATAGCCAAATTGGAGAGAGATGGTTTGGATAAGTGACCTACACAGTGGGTTGAAAATTAGCTGAGCAGCTGGGCTTGGAGGGATACTGTCTGTGATCAGTTTACTACTGCATTCTTCAGAAATTGATGCTAGGACTGTCACTGTTTACCATCTTCATTAATGAATTGGAGAATGGGATGTAATGAACCTTTGCAGGTTTGCATGGAGAAATGGGCTCCTCAGGAAACTCAAGAGTAACTTACTGTAGAAGTTCAGAAAGGGCACACGGTGTCTCCCCAAAACACTTGCCTCTTCTCACTTCCAACAGGTGAAACTAGAGATACAAGAACTGGTGTCATTATAATAGTGTGATGAGGCCATGGCCCCTAAGGATGGCCTGTCCAGCAGATGCCTATCTTCAGCTTCAGCAGTGCTGCCTGTGTAGAAACTGGGCTCGCATCTGCTCCAGGACCTGATAAGGAGCCCCTACCCTAACCATCTAGTGAAGTGATGTTTGTTTGAGAAGATCAATAAGGTGGAAGTCTGTGTAACAGCAAGATAACAAATTTGACATGGTTAACCACAACACTCTTTGACTGGGTATGAACGTAGATGGCATAAATTCAGTGGCCATTTCCTTCACATAATTGTCATGACATGTTATAAATCACAGCCACTGTCTTGCCACGTGTCCAGTCATACAGCGACCTGGTCCTTGCAAACTGACAATAGAGCCAGTCATCAAGAGGAAAAAAAAAAAAAAAAGGCAGGAAAACATGCATTACAAAGTGCTGGGCTTGGGAACTTGGAAAAATGTTACTGCTACATTTAGTATTGACAGTATTTTCCTTCCCAGATAGTGTACATAATCTTTTTTCCTATTGATGCTTCATTAGCTGAGTGCTAGGCAGGTGTGCTGATTTTCTTGGTGACACATGGGTCCATTGTAATCTAGAATACAGCCTTTGTTCTAGAAACCTAGAATAGTTCTTTAAGTCTTCCTTTAAACTTGGCTGTAGTGGCTACACTTATGACCACCTTATCTCAGTCCTTATCTGCCTTCCTAGGCCTAAATATTTTGCCCCTCCTTTTGGAAACCTTGCCTCTCTTCCCTCCTGGGACTTGTTGAGTTTGCAAGGTTGCCACTGCAACCTTGATTTTAAAAATCTTTTCCTGTTCTCATCTTCCTGGGCCCCAACTTGTCATCTTCTGCCTACAAGCCCCCAGCCTGTTTTCATCCCAGCAAAGCTCAGTCTTGAATCTTTTCCTGGGCTCTAGCTCTAGTGCTACCAGGTCAACTATGCAAAGGCTACCTCATGTTTATACTTATGTGTTTAAGCCAGGGAACTTTTTATTTTTACTTTGTTGTCTGTTCATCAGTATTAAGACTACAAGGGAAAAATGATTCCCTGCTTCCAGCTCTTGGGCTTATTACGTCTTCTAGCTGACAAGAAAAGCAACTGAGAATGTTCACTTCCTGCAGGCTTGGGCTGGAGCATGTCCATGGCACTGGGGGCTTTGGAGCACTTAGCTCTGAGTCTCAGTAAGTCTCCTTGGCCCAGGTTTCCAGCCCTTCACTGTCAGTAGAAAGATGCTGGAATTTCCCAGTGAATGCAGCACAGTTTTTTAGCCTTTTCTTTGAAATGACTGATCTATTTCTGAAAAAAAACTTTAAAAACAACCTGAAGGTTATTCTATTCATGTGGCTTTTCAGATGAGGCAGTTCAAGTTTGGTAGTCTGTGGTGGGTTGACCCCAGCCATCAACTAAGTACCAACTCCTTTGCTTCCCACCTCACCCCCAGTGTGATGGGGAAGAGATGAAGAAAAAAAGTAAGAAAGCTCATGGGTTGATATAAAGACAGTTTAATAAGTGAAGGGAAAAAAACCCAAACCAACAAGTGATGCAAAGACAATTACTCATCACCTTCAACCAGCAGACCAGGAATATTCCTTTGGTCAGTTTGGGT